ATTGTTAATTTGCTTAAAGCATGTTTACGCCTGATTTCAAACGCTGAATCAAGCTCCGAGATACCTCAATATTACAACCAAGCTGGGATCTCTTTTCAATTTACTGATTTACAAGCAGCGTTCTGATTGGCTAACAGATTAGTAGAGCATTAACAAAAAGCCGACTCGCCTGCTCTAATGTAGGAGCGAACGCGTTATTTTTCATCAGATATCTGCTTCTGTGCGCATTCCGCAAATTCACTTCTCGAGGGTAGTTTGTTTGTAACACATTAATTTTCTCTTCATTTACGTTGAGCTGACCCCGCTATTGTCAACTTGGTTGAAAGGGGGGTCATGGGCCGCCCATTGAATTTTAATTACCTGTTGTGGTAAAATTATTCGATAACATGCACAGACCTCGCCTTTTGTGAAAACAGCTTTCTAAGATAAGTTATGCCTTCTTCGATTCTTTTTTTAATTATTGGGCTTCCCCTGATTCAAAATACCCTAGGAGCGGCATTAACCCGAACCCGAACATTGCATATCCTTTCCAGCTGACGTAGTTATCTTAATGTGACGAAAACATCTTTAAGTGTTTGACATTAAATTAGGTAGCAACCTCTCTAGATAGCTAGCTATTAATCTAGTTAGTGTGTTTGATGACTGCAAATAAATCAATCGCTTATCCTGCTACTACTACTACTACTTTGGAAGCAGCTCTAGAACCGTTAAATTATTGTATACACAGTTACAGTTTATGATTTTATTACCATGCGGTTGATCTGTGCTCAAAGCAATTTTTTGGGTCAATTTAACCTTAAACAAGGTTTTCACTAAGTTAAGCATGAAGCCAAAAGTACAAGTCTGTTAAAAGTGACCGGCGTCCGATTCACTCGTAAGCTTTGAGCTATATTCTAAAATGCTGCGGTGTCACTCTCTAGATGGGTCAAGAAAGCTAATTTCATTTGGCGAACGACATCGATATTAGTCTACCTAGACTAAACAGTCGTTACATAAAATCTGACACAAGGCTTTGCCGTTTCCCTTGATGTTCAAGTGTACATTTAAAAAGATGTTGGCTGCCGTCACCAAGCTTCATTAAACACGAGAGTTGTGCGTTTGTTTTAAACTCTTGACGAGGCGCGTTTTTAAATAAAGACTGAATCCCTCAGTGCGTCGCGCGCGCAAACGTTAACAATATATATAAAACCCCTGGTATAAACAAACACGAACCGAATTAAACCCGCTGAAGGATTTATTTGTACGGATTTACGCTTAACTAGCCAACCTCGCATTGCGTTTAATTCGACAACTGCACCCAGATTTACTGAGCTTAACCTATTCACGAAAAGAACTTTTCAAAGTTTTCAAAGAGTTTTAAACTATAAAAACCCAGTTTAAATGATAAGAGGAGTAAATAAACTCAATATCTGTGTATTTCTGGTGATTTCTGGGCGGTTTTTATCAATTCATGACGCTGCATTTTGAAGACTGAAAACACTTGACGGATCAGCAAGCTTAACCGTTCGGGATGGCCGAGCGTGCTTAAATGCGTACAATGCAGAGTCTCGCTTCTATGACTTCCATCGCGAGCGCTGGATACGTGCCGCGCGAACAATAAGTGATGCAGACCAAAAATTGATTAAAAGAGTTAACAAGGGCAGGATATGTTAGAAGAATGCAACGTCTTGCCCTGGGGGAAGTTTTTGCTTATGCATCACGCAAAGAATTAGCGCGTAATTTGTTTAAAAGACCATCGCTAAAACGAGCGCTATTTTGAGTTAACGATTATTTTCTATCATATACATTCATCTCTGACAAGTGAAAAGGCAATCACTCACAAAGTTGTCATTTAAAGGTAATATCGTGCGTCAAGCCTTCGTTACGATTGTTTCTGTTGCCATGGTGATTCCAATGAGGCGGGAAAGGAGTCATTAAGAGGCAGACAACTGACGGCATGTTAATTTCACCTAAACAAAAAACGCTTCGATGTACCATCCTAAACTAACACGTAGAAGGAAGGAACAGTTTGAGGTTTTTGAACTAGAAGCTTCTTGAATACCGATTTTATACTTCCTCTCCATGCCTGGTTAACAATATAACAGCTTGATTGTTCCTGGTTCCTGTGGAGGTTTGGTTACGCAATTTCTTGAACTTCCCTTATGGAGTTTACTGCATTCGCTCTACGTGACCTACTTGCGTTGCATATTGTACATGTTTCTCGCCCTTCACTTTTATTTAATCGCTATCACTTACAAGATAGATCATTATGAACAATTATTCATCAAAGTTGCGGTAAGTAGTGCACGACAGCTACTAAGCCGCGAAGGGGCGTGGTAAATATGCTTCGGTTGTCATGGACAATAAGTTCAATAATTACTTGTTATGTATCGCACCTGGGGAGGGAAGGGAAAATTGATGAACTCCAGATCAACTCTTGTGTTTCCATCGCTCTCTCTTCCTTACCCACCCCCCACCACACCACCCCACCCCACAACTACCCTCTTCATCTTCCATCAATCACAACTGTTGCAAGGTAACCTGGCACTGAAAGAAAACCGTAGGGAGTGGGGACGTGCGTGAAATGCACCAGCACCCTATCCGGGAGTAGTGAGGTGATACTCCTGTTCCCATCAGGCTTTATCGAAACACGATTCAAGCACTTGCTCAGAAATTGACGTCATGTAGTTTTGATCGGACTTTGAGCTTTAAATAACAAGGAAAAACCTGTAGAACAGGAAAAGAGTATATGAGAGTTCAATGAGTGTCATTTTGTTCTGCTCGTGGTTAAACCACGGATTGCACAAAGCTGAATTGACATCTTTTGGCTGTCAGACGAGCGAAAACTGCCAACAAAAACTCCTCGCATGACTGAATGGAGTGCTTGTAAAATAAAGTTCTTCTCAGGCATGTTTTCAGGCGCTGTATGTAAAAAATCTGCTTGAGGTAGTAGTTGCCTATGTAAACGGTAGCGGTGTAGGGTGAACTTCATGTAACCTACTAGAATGTTTGTGAGGCCGTTTTGTGTGATTAGAATCTAAAATTACTTTTTTACATGTGCGCGCGCACGTTGGAAATACAAACTTCTCTTGATTAGCTCGCCGCTGTGACACACACCATGAGGGTAAGGTTAAAGTCTACATACGAGCCAAGTGGCCCATCAGGCCGGACCATCCTTATCCCAGTTTCTGAAACATGAAGCGACTAGGAATATTTCTACTCACCCCTGGATGGGATGCTAGTCCATCACCCCAGCATCAAATTCGCCGGGACTCATTTGTACACATGGTTGGAGAGAGGCGCTGTGAGAGGAAAGTGTCTTTCCCAATAACACAACATAATGTCCCAGGGCAGGGCTCGAACCCGGACCGCTCGATCCGGAGTCGAGCGCACTAACCATGAGGCCACCGCGCCTCCACACTCGACACAGAGTACATTGTACTGAAGATGAGATATTTACAACGTTTCGCGACGGAAGGTGATTTTATAGCTTCAGCCTGTCAGTTGAGTCCTTTTAAAACTTACCGATAGCAAAATCCCTTCTATGTGCCATGAATAGTTGTCACTTCAGTTTACTGAGCTTATATCTTTCAAATGCGATCGCGGCATTTTCCAAATAAGGAATAAGAATCCTAACGCGCGCAGCCACGTCACAAGTTTCATTTATGACGCAATTATTTTGAAAACAACTCTAATTCAAGATTAATTGGCAAGGAAGAAAAGGCTGAAAGTTTTTCATCCGTTTTAATTTTTACTAACCTTGGTTATCTGAAAAGTGTAGAATTGCCATAATTGTCAAAGAATGAAATATTTGAAGTACATACTTGGCGGTATAGCTTTAACAGCCGCAGTAGCGGCAATCTCTGTTGTTATCTACAAATGGTGGAAAAACAGTGGAAAGGTAAGTATCTGTTGATGAATCAGGTTTATTTTCTGCGAAAAATTGTTTTTGATATCTGTGTACCGTCCGCATACTTACGTTTACACTGCTAGAAAAGGTTTCCGAATTTTGACGAATCCAGAACGCTTCAAAGTTCTTTTTATTCTTTTCAGTTATTTTTCGTTCAGACTCAGGAAAATGAAACTGAGATAAGACAGTTTCTTTGTTTGTGGTTTTAATCTTACTACTGACGTGTGTCTCCGTCACGGTTTTAAAACACTATTTGAGCTGTCGTTTCCTTTCCTTTAAGTCCGCGAAGAACGGCGAAGGCAGTTTATTTTTAGCCTATATCGGCAGATTTAGGGTGGGTTGGGGTTTGATGCGGCAAAAACGTTGTTGGATTAGCCATTGCGAAGAGCTTTAAATAACGGAAGCCCATATTCCTAGCTCCCCTTTTTTAGATTTGCAAAATTTCCTGCGAGTTAACATTCCGTCTAACACTGAAGACACACGTGAAAGTGAAACAACTATTCTGTCTCTGAAAGTGCGAAATAGAGAACTGGGGACTAAAATAGTTTCTAGTGAGTAATAAGACTTCTCCACCGGGTTAGGCCTACCGTCCACACTAATCCGTCACGAAAACGGAGCTTTTCAAAAGCGTTCTTCAAACCGGAGGAATTTGAAAACCCCGGCTTCGCGTTTTAGTGTGGACGGAAAACTTTTTCAAAACGGAGCTTTTCAAAAAGATGACATCAAGGTAATCGTGTGATTTCCCTGCAGGAGTTTTCCTCAAACACAAATCCAAAATGAGCGATGAATGTTGCGTTTTCAAATTTCCCCGGCGTAATGTCGACGGGGCTTTATAAATCGTAGACGTTGATTATTCTGTGTTTTATTTTACTATTTTTGCAGGGTGAAGAGGATGAGGATGACGAAGAAGACAACTGGCCTGAACTGAGGTATGGAATTTACAAGAATCCCAAACCGGGTCCTTCTTGGAGACTGGAGCCTGGTGAATACTACAATCCCGCACCACTCCCGACAGATTCGAACTAAGGTGCTGCTTCAGCGCTGCGCATGACATCAATGGATCATCCGCTTGTAAGTAGAAACACATACTAAGTATGCTACGTCTTATACACGTAAGGTTTTTTTTGGGAAACCTCAGTGAAACTTACTTTGATTTCATTTTTACCTAGTTTGTAATCTATGCTTTGATTATTTCTTCCAGATAAATATCATCTCGAAGTAAAAATGTTTTGTCTACTTTTTGACCGTTTGAAACATGCAACAATCTCAATTTAATAATTTACTCACCAAATTTTAACCGATTTGATAAGGTCTTACCTCTTCTGATAAACGTATAACAGTATGAGCTCTAAAGAAAGTGTTGTCCTATGGGTTTGTCATATCTAAATGGTTAGTTTAGCCCGTGGAAAGTAAGCTCTCCAGACAAAAAGCTTTAAAGGGCATTTCGACAAATTAATTGCGTAATGTTTGGACCACTTCGATTTTTTAGTCTTGAATATAAACATATTTCAATGTGTCATAACACAAATAATTCTTGAGTATCGTGTGTCTGAAAATAATTCACTAAAAGAGTCCTTTTGGCGAAATAAAAGAAGAGAATAAAAAAAGAAAAAGAAGAAAAAAAGAAAATTGGAATTCTCCGTCCTGTCGCTCCTAAATTATTCGGGCAGAGATTGGGAAACAGTTTACCAGCAATTAGGCCTAGTTAACACTAGCTACCTGCCTCGTTAAGCTAGCAGGACTCAGTAAGGTAAAGGTGCACGACTTATTTTTCCAAAAAAAAGCTGACATGGTGAACAAAACAAAAATTTTAAACAAAAATTGTACAAAATCCTAGTTTAGCTTGCTCCACGCTTTTCCTACCTCAGTGCCAAAGTCAACTGGAGAGTCGTCCAGTTTCCAGCTCCCAAGGAGCAAAACATTAAATCCAGTCTTTTATATGCAACTTCGATCCCAGGCAACTTTTTTCTTTAAGCCAAAAATACGCTCTCCGGACGAGGGTCAGTGGATGACACTGTAGGAGAAATAGAAAGAAAATTCTCGTTCAACCAAGCCTCGCCTGGCGACAGATTTACTCGGCTACACTTCCAACCGATACTGTTGGTTACATAACACAAGTGTATCAAAATGTTGCCTCGATAATATACAATTCAATTTATCACATAGAAATTAGCTACAAGGCCAATATCCAATTTAAAGTGAAGTCGAAAGTTTTCTGTATTGGACCGGTAGGTCATGATAATGGTTCTGATAACAGTTCCGCTACATTAGGTTTATTCTTAGTATCAGCGACTATTTATTACATACGTCAGTTACGGACGAATCAATATTGGTTTATGGGAACGTGATATTTCCCATCAAAATTAAATTGTGTTTTCCAACTGCCATGCACACTCAATTCCATTGTTTATGAGCCAATTGGATGTGAGCAGAAATCTCGTGCATTTGTTCTAAATAAATCCTTCGTGGCGAATAATAAATGCTAAATTCGATATTATCTGTGTAAGTTTGTTAAAATGGTCGGCTAAACTACAGAATACAGGGCCACTTTTAATCATCCACTGAACGAACCAGCTCGTTTGGCTCCTTTCCTCCTTTGTCATCCACTGCCGCGCCAAACGAGCCATTAATTATA